TATACGTATATATATATATATATATACGTATATATTTACTCATAAATAATTTCTCAAACAAATTTCATCAGTAAATTCAATTTTTATCAATATCTCAACAATATTTATATTTTATATATATTAACATTAACTTATATACCATACATAAAAATATAAATTTTTCTTTCCTTATATGTTGTTACAGCTTCAAAATTAATTCGCACACGACAATTACTTCATTATAAATACAAATAGCACGATAAACTGCATATATATGCTACATATATTTTCTGAATAAAAAAAACTCTGTTCAAATATAATATCTTCACAGATTTACATTGAGTTTCGTTAGTTTTAAATTATTGAACCGATGAAACTTGACAATGTGGTGGAATATTTTCACGAAACTTTCATTCTAACTCTTCCTTAAATTTCTCTACTACGCGACATTAATTTACAATTTTTTTCTTTTGTCCATTGAAGTCAATATCATCAGAATCAAAATTATCATTTCTAGCAAAATCCAATTTTTGTTCGGCTTTTGCATAAAACGCTCCTACTTTCAATCTATACTGCTCTTCGAAAGTGAGATTAGCTTTTTCTTTTCATCGATACATATATATATATATATATATATATATATATTAAAGTATTAGAATTATTACACGAAAATGAAATTCTATTATAGTAGATTCTCCAGAAGGATTTTTTTCATGATATAACATTGGATATGTTCTAGTAATCATAACTTTAAATTTGCAAACTAAACCATCACTAGGGCACACATTTTTTAACTTAATTAGCATAGGTCCAGGGCAATGTGTATACCCTAATTTAGTATCCTATTTAATTTTTCTGTTGGAATTAGTATGAATTCTTAAAGATACATCGGGTGGAATATAATGGATTAAATAATAATATCAAAATAATATTATTCATAAGAAAGAAAACTTTCATTTACTTTTTTTATCATACATATTTCTAAATGACAGAAAAATTGATAAAAATTCAACAACTCTGCTCCAAATATCATTCATTTTGTACCTTCGCGTATTTTTCCAGATGTTACGTAACTCATCATGGTTGTATCAATAAAAGCAGGAATGCTATATACTATCCATCAGTTAATATTATTTTCGAATAATTTATGTTTGATACTATTGAACTAGATTCTCTATTTTTGTCATCTCTGGACTGTACGGAAAAATGAAAATACATTGATGAAATTTCTAAAAAAATATAATGAAATTTATTTTCTATTAATATATATTTACCTCAGAGTAATAGATGATACACATAAAACCATTCGTTTGGATGCACAATCATCTTTTTCCAATATCCTTCATAAACATGGCTTTTTTAATCTATCAATTTCACGATCAAAACGATATTTAAGTTGTACCATAACATTAGCTAGTGTCAATGGACCTATATTATAATAATAATACAATAATAGTATTTACCTAGATATATTAATAAAATTAAATTTAAATCTATAGTGCTAGTTTCCAAATAACCCAGTTGTAATGATTTTCAATCCAATTTCTAGGAATAAGGTTCGGATCAATTTCTGGACTTGCAAGAAAAGATCATTTAATTTTAGAGATACCTATTAGTAATATTTCCTTCACTATTTTTTATAGGAGTAGAATGTTCATAGGTAAGTTTTTCCGAATTGACATCCATAATCAAATTTATGGTATTAAGATAACATTTATAATATATTTCATATATTTGATTCACTTGAATTACATATACCTTCTATATCTGTAAAAATAAAAATTATTAATTAATTAGAAATGATTTTAATGAATCAAACGATGACCTAAAGTTTATCATTCAATCCGTTTAAATCTCACCTGAGATCTAACTAAAACCAAATTAAAAAATATCATTATCAATGAATATAAAGTATTATGCATATACAATATATATATATATATATACATATATATTTATTATATATATAAGCAATATTAATAATAATTAAAACTATATACATGAACTATATATATGAATTAATTTGTAAAAATATTAACATTTTAAACATTTATTTTTAATTCAATAATTTACCATTCAAATGCCGGAAATCATTGATGAATTTTAATACTATTTAGTATTATCAATGAATTTTTATATAGATACACAATTTCGTGTAAATCTATTAATTTAAAATATTTTTGTATAATATATAGATATCTATTATACGTATGTATCATATATATTTAATTGTGTTTTATAATTTAAACAAATTTTATATTAAATAAGAAACACATTTTACAATGTTACTAAGCGAGGTTAGGGATATTTAGTTTTTATAGTTAGATTCACTGAACAATATTTACTTTAAAAAAAATTTGTAATTGATTGCAATTCAAACCGATATTATTCTCAATTTGGGAATCTAATATAAATATAATAGAGTACTTACATTTAAATAATAATATTTAATACTCTTACTTAAGAAAAATAATATAAGAAAAAAAATGTCACTATGGTTTGCACGACATGTAAACTATATTTACACCGGATGCACCGAAATAATTTCAAATTTTCGGTAAAGCAACAGACTTATCAACTGCAGATATTCTTTAGTTTACAACAAAGTATTATTTCTACAACGTGTTTAATTAWCTTGACGTAATGATAAACAATAATTAATACAAACATCAGAAACACAGGTTTCTGATAGTTTATACTCCAATTCTCAATTTTTGTTTTTAATTGATTCTGAAACTGTATTTAAGTGTTTCTTATAAATAAAATGAAGTTTAATTCATATACAGGTATAATCTGGTCTTTATTAGAGTTAGAAGGTCTTTTAGAAGATGAAAATTCACAAGTACATTATGAACGTCTGAATAAACATCTTGGATTACATCCATTTCATTTGAATGATCTTAATACAGCATTAGATGAAATATTAAGTTCTGGTTTGAACACATATGATACCGAGTATGTATATCAAATAATATTATTAACAAATGCTTATAACTATATTTAAATATAATTTGTTTTAGGTTACAAGGTTTTCTTT